TTCTTTCTTTTTCTTTCTTTCTTTCTTTCTTTCTTTTTCTTTCTTTCTTTTTCTTTCTTTCTTTCTTTCTTTCTTTCTTTCTTTCTTTTTCTTTCTTTCTTTCTTTCTTTCTTTCTTTCTTTTTCTTTCTTTCTTTCTTTCTTTCTTTTTCTTTCTTTCTTTTTCTTTCTTTCTTTCCTTCTTTCTTTCTTTCTCTTTCTTTCTTTCTCTCTCTTTCTGTCTTTCTTTCTTTCTTTCTTTCTTTCTTTCTTTCTTTCTTTCTTTCTTTCTCCCTTTCTTTCTCTCTCTCGCTCCCTTTCTCTCTCTCTCTCTTTCTCTCTCTCTTTCTCTCTCTCTCTCCCTTTCTCTCTCTCTCTCTCCCTTTATCTCTCTCTCTCTCCCTTTGTCTCTCTCTCTCTCTCTCTCATTGAGTTTCGCTCTTGTTGCCCAGGGCTACAGTGCAGTGGCGCGATCTTGGCTCACGGCAACCTCCACCTCCCGGGTTCAAGCAATTCTCCTGCCTCAGCCTCCCGAGTAGCTGGGATTACAGGCATGTGCCACCGCGCCCAGCTAATTTTGTATTTTTAGTAAAGACGGGGTTTCTCCATGTTGGTCAGGCTGGTCTCAGACTCCTGACCTCAGGTGATCCGCCCGACTCAGCCTCCCAAAGTGCTGGGATTACAGGCGTGGGCCACCGCGGCTGGCCTATAACTAACTTTTCTACCCAGGCCAGTGCTTAGACAGGCTCCCTGCTGTTGTCAGAGCGAGTTGGGAATAGGACGGTACTGCATCCTGTTTCTGTACCTGACCTTAATGAGGGATGTGTGTGCCCTGTCATTCAGTGCTCTCTGGGTAAGCTTTAGGTTCCACATAAATAGATTTGGTTAGTAATGTGGGATTGGTTGGAGAGCGGCTGCTGAGTGTTTGTATCATAGGCCTCAGGAACTCCTATGACATAAAGATGTCCAGTGGAAACTTGGAGCCAAACTCTCTTTGGAAAGGGTTTTGCCTGAACCAGGCCCGGCACACGTGCCTTTGAAAGATGTGGCTAAGGACTTAACTGCTATGAGCGGAGGCAGTGTGATTCTATGAAGCATCATCACAAATGTACTCCTTTAATAAGCCTGCTGATATTCAGGAAGGGCATTCTCAATATTCCCTTTGTACTTCTCCTCAGTGTCAGGCCCAGGAAGCTGCAATTGGATACCAAGAAGGTATAAATGGCAGCAATGTCACCACCAACAATCTTGGTTCCTGCTTGGGTTGCGGGTCCCCAGGTCTTCAAGGGGAAGGCTGCTTACTGAAGATTTCATGCTCTGTACCAGTGGTGCAAAGTCAATTCGCACTCCAGTGAATGACTTTTTTCTCTCTCTCTTTTCTTTTTTTCTTTTTTGAGACAGGGTCTCACTCTGTTGCTCAGCCTGGAGTGCAGTAGTGTCATCTTGGCTCACTGCAACCTCTGCTTCTCACGTTCAAGTGATTCTTCTGCCTCAGCCTCTCGAGTAGCTGGGATTACAGGCATGCACCACCACACCTGGCTAATTTTTGTATTTTTAGAAGAGACGAGGTTTCTCCATGTTGGCCAGGCTGGTCTCAAATTCTGGCCTCAAGTGATCTGTCCACCTCGGCCTCCCAAAGTGCTGGGATTACATGTTTTAAAAACATGCCCAGGAATATATACTAATCCCATCTAGAAGTCAACTCCCAGAGGTGGATTTACCTTGAAGCAAATGAAGCTTAAGTTTCAGGGTCTCTCACTACCCAAATCCCTGCAAGACCTTATGTCCTAGCTTATACTGCTAATTTATTTATTTAGTTTGTAAAGAGTGCCCTCCAAGTTGTATCAGCTTCATGCCCACAAAACCTGAACCTGACCCTGTTTACTGCCATTTCCAGTCGTCAGTTATCTGCTAACTGATTGTCCGAGTTTCAGCTTTACCCAGGGCAAATCTTGCTCTCAGAAGTATAGTTAACGATTTTCTTAGTTGTCTCCCAGTTCTTTTTTTTTTTTTTTTTTTTTTTTAGCTCTGTTGCCCAGGATGGAATGCAGTGGTGAGATCAGAGCTCATTGCAGCCTTGTTGTTCCTTTTAATATTTGTTTTTCACTTAGCTTGCAAGGCAAGGAGACTATCTGTGATATGCTCTGGTCTGTCCCTCATGGGAGAATGTACGATAAGGAATGGAGTCACTAGGACTGATGCTTTGCACGGGGCTCAAGGGAGTTGTTCGCTGCAAGAGCACTAACGGGGGTGCAGGGACCAGAGGAGGCTCATCCAGTACTTCTGGAGAGGAAGCTTGTCTCTGTGTCTTCCCTTTTGTTTGAAATGAACCCCTAGGACATAAACTTCACATGTAAAGGATGTAAATATTTCAAAGCCACCTGTGAAGGGTTTGGGGCTCAACTCGACCGCTTCTCAGCTCCGTTAGCGAGGATAACTGGAAATGGACAGTATTTCTATTTTTGAATTTAACAGGAATTTGAAGGGTTAACAGTTTGGTCATCTCCTATTTTTCTGGAGACTTTCCATTCTTTTTGTTTTTGTTTTTAATTACTTTTTTTCCAGATCAACAAAGCACAGTGTAAGGAGTCTAATCTCTGGAGTTCAGCTCTGCTTTTGTGAAATCACACTGCTTTTGCTTAATAACACCATCAGTGTATGTGGCTGGGTTTTTATTCAAGCTGCAGTGTAATTAACAGCAAAAATAAATGCTTAGGAATTGAATATTTATCTCCCAGAAGCTACTTTGTGTCCTTTTGATAATCATCTTTAATTCTAATTTTTTTAAGTGGGAAAACACGATAGGAAACTGTGTAATAAACACATTTATTCAACAAAGGCCTCTAATTCTTCATTTATTATTGATACACTTTAATTCATGAAAGAAGAAATATTTTTACTAATATTTCTTGCAGCTGAAAATTTGTCATTGTTTGTGCATTTCTATAGGAAAGTTTAGAATTTCTTTTTTTTTTTTTTTGAGGTGTGAAGTAATTGGTTTTCTAAGAAGAAATGTCCCTTTGACAGGCCAAATTGTGCAACTCTATAGTCACAGAGAAGGGCAGGCAAAGGCAGAGTGATTGCTAACTTACTTTTCTATTTTAAAGCTTGTAAATTGATTTTTTAAACTTCATTTTTATAGAAATATGTTTCCACAGTTCTCATCTTTGTTTACTATAAATTATTTGCCCTGATAATTCATAGCCAGTTTTCATTTTTATTCTTTGGTTTTCAAATTCAGAAGCCCTAAAAAGAGTTTACATACATAGAAAAATTGTAAGTAAATCCAAAATCATCGAAGACAGATTAAGATTACAAGTAAAAACTCACCATGTGCTCCTTAAGAACAACCTTAGAAGCCAGGCATGGTGGCTCACTCCTGTAGTCCCAGCACTTTGGGAGGCCAAGATGGGCAGATCACCTGAGGTCAGGAGTTCGAGACCAGCCTGGCCAACATGGCAAAACCCCATCTCTACTAAAAATACAAAAATTAGCCAGGTGTGGTGGTACGCGCCTGTAGTCCCAGCTACTTGGGAGGCTGAGGCAGGAGAACAGCTTGAACCCAGGAGGTGGAGGTTGCAGTGAGCAAAGATTACACTACTGCACTCTAGCCTGGGTGACAAAGCGGGACTCTGTCTCAAAAAAAAAAAAAAAAAAAAAAAGAATAACCTTAGAGAATTAAGTGGGTTTATCTTGTCAGCTACCTCCCCAGTGCTATGCAAGCATCTGGTCAACATTAGACACAACAGAAAAGAAAGGAGAAGGAGGCAGACACTCTCGGTGACAGTGACATTCGTGTAGTGTTTATATTGCAACCTAAGGTGCATTTATCACCACTCCTGAAGATAAGAAAAAAGCATGCAAATACCTGCACCAGAGAGTAAAACTGAAATATCTTTTTTAATTGGCTCAATTATTTTCATACTTCTGCTCTCTATGGCAGATATTTGTGATATGTGACAGGAAAGTTCTCAGTTTAAGGATCACAAAGTCACTGACAATTGCAATAGGATATATTATGGAAGGAGAAAGAGTGCTTATTCCTTACGGAAAGAAAGTACCTCATGCCCCCTGTTGGGTAGTATCTGGCATCCAATTCTGTCTTTTATTTGGTGTCAGAAAACACATTGATGCAACTTGCTTATGCTCTCTGGTAAAAAAATAAATTAATTTAAAAAGAAAGGAAGAAAGAAAGAAAAGAAAGAGAAAGAGGAAGGAAGGAAGGAAGGCAGGCAGGCAAGGAAGGAGAAAGAAAAAAAGAAAGAGAAAGAAAAGAGAGAAAGAAGAAAGAAAGGAAGAGAAAGAGAAATAGAGAGAAAGGAAGAAAAAGAAAAAGAAAGAGAAAGAAAGCAAGCGAGAGAGAGAGAAAGAAAGAAAGAAAGAAGGAAAGAAAGAAAGAAAGAAAGAAAGAAAGAAAGAAAGAAAGAAAGAAAGAAAGAAAGAAAGAAAGAAAGAAAGAAAGAGAAAGGAGGGAGGGAGGGAGGGAAGGAGGAAGGAAGGAAGGAAGGAAGGAAGGAAGGAAGGAAGGAAGGAAGGAAGGAAGGAAGGAAGGCAGGCAGGCAGGCAGGCAGGCACATTAAGGCCTCAGCTCATATGAGGGGTAGAGATGGGAGTTTTAGTTGTTTTGTAAAAGGCAGCATTGCTTCTGATCACAAAATCCTGCCTGCTGTGTAAAGTTAATTGATGGAAGCTAATTGTTACCTAACTTTTATCATCCATAGCAGTTATAGACATATATTTGGTAAGTATATATGTTGACTAAAATGCAATACTTCATATAAAATAAAGACCCATTTGTATAATAGGATTATAGAGTATTATCATGTAGCATATATACACAAGACTGTTCTTTCTTCCCATACATACAAATTCATCTCAATATCCTTCTTCACTCTTTTGAAAACCTATACAATCTTACAGATGTCTTCACTGATTCTTGCATATGGTTGTTCTGTGTGTTCCACTAGAGGTGAACTTAACTTTGTGTAATGAATTCTGTTAGTTTTCATAAAGATAACATACCACGTGACACGAGGTTCTGGCCAGCCTGCTATGGAGCAGTGCAATTTTACATTCTCCTTCTCCCACACCGTGTGGGAGCGAGGTTTAATGATAAACTCAGGAGCGTGGAGAAGATGGTCTTCATTCAACTTGGCATGATACGCCTCGGTTTCTTCTAACTGAAATAACAAATAAGCAGACATATTACCAAAACACCACTAAATCAAAGTGACTTTTGGTGCTAAAATAACAAGTAGAAGCCAAAAGTTTTATTTTTCCACTTGGAAGCTTCATTTTGTTTAGAGAAAATGCACTCCCTTCTCCCTTTTAAGAACAGAGGTAGTTATTTGACATTTAACATTCTAAGCTTAAGCAACATCTTTGATTTCTTTTTCTTTTTTTCTTTTTTTTTTTTTTTTTTTTGGCCCAGGCTGGAGTACACTGGTACAACCTGGCTCACAGCAGCCTCTTCCTCCCAGGTTCATGCAATTCTCGTGCCTCAGCCTCCTGAGTAGCTGGGATTACAGGCACTCACCACCATGCCTGGCTAATTTTTGTATTTTTAGTAGAGATGGGGTTTCACCATGTTGGCTAGGCTGATCTTGAACTCCTGACCTCAAGTAATTCTCCCGCCTTGGCCTCCCGAAATTGGGATTACAGATGTGAGCCACCACATCTGGTCATATTTTACATAGAGGAGTATTTTACTTACTCCTGTAAGTAAAATACTCCTCTAGGATTTCTTAAGGCTCTTTAAAATCTTTAATTTCCTTAAAACCTAAAATTCCATGGAGTTTAAAACTATTGTTTGCTTTATTTGACCTACATATTAATATTTTAATGTCTTTCTCCTTGTTTTCTTATGTTTTGTTTCTCCAAAAGATCACATATTCTTCATTTGAAACAAATCAGTCAGGTGCAGTGGCTCATGCCTGTAATCCCAACATTTGGGGAGGCTGAGGTGGGTGGATCACTTGAGGTCAGGAGTTTGAGATCAGCCTTGCCAACATGGTGAAACCCCATCTCTACTGAAAAAAAAAAAAAAAAAAAAATTTAGCCGGGTGTGGTGGAACATGCCTGTAACCCCAGCTACTTGAGAGGCTGAGGCAGGAGAATCGCTTGAACCCGGGAGGCGGAGGCTGCAGTGAGCTGAGATTGCGCCACTGCACTCCAACCTGGGGGACAGAGTGAGACTGCATCTCAAAAAAAAAAAAAAGAAACAAATCCATCTACATCTACACACACACACACACACACACCCCTTATGACATGCATTTCCACCTTTGTAAGTTACGTTAAACTGTCTTTTCTTACAGTTTTCCTCAGGGTCAGGCGTTCTGCCTTTTCTCGAATCGCAACTTTCCTTGACTTCTTTTCAAAAGTTTCTTCTTGTTGAAGAGTAGACGTGGCCTGTTTGGAAACCACGGACTGCTTGGATGCCGTGGACTGCCTGGATGCCGTGGACTGCTTGGATGCCGTGGACTGCTTGGATGCCGTGGACTGCCTGGATGCCGTGGACTGCTTAGATGCCGTGGACTGTTTAGATGTTGTGATTCCTTCCTCACTAGCAAGAAGATTCCTCTGGGCTATATAAGCAGCAGCTTCTTTAATTCTTTCTTCTTCCGTATCTGTAATTCCACTGACATGCTTTTGACTAAAACACAATAATGGCAAAATGTAGATGTTGTGGATGGCAGTGATAAGATTGAGTAATTTTTACTATGTTCAAAGTACCACACCTCAGACACTGTATCCTGCACCAAAAGAAAACCCAATATAGAAAAAGCAGGTAAATCAGAAGCTGACACTTCATGTACAGAAGTGTTCCTCGCCTTAACAAATAACAGTAATAATGATAACAGTAATAATAACACCTATGATGGTCCTGGTGCTTTTCACATACATGATCTTGTTTCATCCCCATACAAACCCTATGAGATAAACTTTTTTTTTTTGAGACGGAGTCTCGCTCTTGTTGCCCAGACTGGAGTGCAATGGTTCAATCTCAGTTCACTGCAACCTTGGCCTCCTGGGTTCAAGCAATTCTCCTGCCTCAGCCTCCCAAGTACCTGGGATTACAGGCTTCTGCTACCATGCCCAGCTAATATTTTATAATTTTAGTAGAGACAGGGTTTCACCATGTTGGCCAGGCTGGTCTCGAACTCCTGACCTCAGGTGATCCACCAGCCTTGGCCTCCCAAAGTGCTGGGATTACACTTGAGAGCCACCATGCCCGGCCAAGATAAATTATTATTTCTGTTTTAGATATATGGTAATGAGGTTCAGAGAAGTTAGATAACTTGCCCAAGGTCATCTCACGGATTGTCTTAGTGTGTTTAAACGTGATTTTGTTTACAATAAAAGATTATGGTTCCTTTCCAGAGAAGCCATATTGTCCAATGAGAACTAGTTTGTTTGCCTGTGACCCTGATACATGAGTAGGCGCTTGATCTGGATTCTGTCACTTTGCTGATGTAATACATTGCCTGGAGCTGTTGCAGTATGAGTAAGTTCTGAATTTACATGAGGTTCCTTATGCCTACTGGGTTTCTTTCTAAGATAATATATGTTGTGTGTGCATATATTGTGTGTGTACCTATAGTATATACTAAGAAATTATCAAACTTGTGATGGAAGTGGTGACATTTATAAATGTGACTCGTTATTATTCATAATTGATGACAATAGTCATCAAGGGAGTCATCAAGGGAGTGGTAACATCTCAAGTTCAATGCCTACTGTGGCAGTTTATGTAGAATCTGTGCTGTGATTTATTCATGTTATTTAAAAATATTTGAATTATTTTAACATATTTCAATGCCTTTTGTTGTAAAGCCCCTCAAATGTTTTAGTGAAAGAGTATATTGATTATATTGAGGATTCTCTTGAAATTGAGTCTCCTTAGACCTCTTACGTCAGAATTATACATTCCAAGAATGATTGCTTCAGGATGTAAGCAAATGCTACCATTGTGTTAGCAAGTTCCTAGCATCTAAATCTATGTCGCTTGCTGAGGAATAAGATTCCACATTTGCCAAGTTTGGGGTTTCTCATGGACTATTCCTAAAACATTTGGCAGACAAGATGAGTCCATGTTGTTTCTGACTAAATGTAGCGAGTACATTTTAAGTTTTTTCCTCTCTCTCTGTAAATATTAATAAGATAATCCCTACTATGGATGTTAGTAATATGTCCATTATTATTGGGGGGGAGGAGGAAGATGAAAGATTTTTAGCTTAGTGTCCTCACATAATGACCTCTCATTCTTTTTTCAACAAGATAGGAAGTGAATGAATTACTAACTGAATACAAAACAAACCATGGAGAATTTGCTTGGAATTCTCTATAGAAGTCAACATACAATAGGGAGATGTGAAATGAGCTTTGTGATCTGTTTCAATTCATGTAATGATGGATCATATTCAATGCTAGTCTTGCCCCAGGCTCCAAGTAAGAGAACTTTATGTTTAAGTTCTCATTACTACTGATACTGGATAGGTTGGCACAGCTCTAGAGGGCCAAATGAAGTGATAGTCTCCTTGCCTTTTCCATTTACAAAGAAGCCAAACTTCGGAAAAAAAAACCTGTAGTTATTTCACACGAGAACTCAACTACACTTAAAAAGTATGTTAGACCCAAGGCAGTAGGGATATTCTCCTTTAAGTAAAAGTCGGGATTTATCAGTGATAACCCTTCTATAATCTGGACACAAAAGTAAAACTGTGAGGCTAACATGTTGACAAAAGTATACTACTACGAAGTAAAACTAAATTTAAAATATCCCAGTACTCTGCGAATCTGTGACAGTCTCAATTCAAAATCTCTTGTTGACAGAAAGTTTACTCAATTTATTAGAATATAAGTGGAATTTTCAGGTGCCATGCAGAGGAAATGGTGTTTTCCAGAAGCACAGTGTGAGTGCAGAGGGCATGTCCACTGCATTGACCAGGCCTACGTGGGACTTTCAATTCTTTCCCTCCCAGGCATGCAGCTTTCAGAAAGTCACTCTACCTTGATTTCCTTGTCCAAAACATTGATATATTAACATCTCTGCAGGGTTGTATGGAGAATTTAGCAAGATGGTTTATATAAAGCACCTTGCATGAGTCCCAGCAAATAATAATAGACACTCAACAGATGTTTATTTTTTTCCATCCTCTTCTCAGATTAATACTGCCAAAACCGCTGTGAAATGTTATTTTCGACACAGTAATAGAGTATAGGTGATGACACCGTATAAGATATAATGGAGAACTAGAAATAAAGCCTAGAAAATCAATGTTCATTCACATCTTTTTTTTTTTTTTTTTTTTTTGAGAGGAGTCTCGCTCTGTTTCCCAGGCTGGAGTGCAGTGGTGCGATCTCTCGGCTCACTGCAACCTCCACCTTCCGGGTTCAAGCAATTCTTCTGCCTTAGCCTCCCGAGTAGCTGGGATTACAGGTGCCCGCCACCACACCCAGGTAATTTCTGTATTTTCAGTAGAGAAGGGGTTTCACCGTGTTAGCCAGGATGTTCTCAATCTCCTGACCTCGTGATCCGCCCACCTTGGCCTCCCAAAGTGCTGGGATTACAGGCGAGAGCCACCACGCCCTGCCTCACATCTTCTTTTATCAGTTTATTTGGTAAATGATCACTTCCTGAGACTGGCCCAGAAGAGACAAATAGTTTGGTGTGGACAGAGCAAGGAGAAGATGTTAGGAGTAAGAAGCTTCATTTTGTGCCCTGCCAGGTGGAGTCATGTCATGTAGGCTAGTGTTAAGCTGATGTGGTTTTAAAATGATTTTTTGAAACAGAGTGGGAAAAATACTGGAGACAAAAGACTTTACCCCTCTAGCCTACCATCACTTACAAGGAATGCGAGTTACATTAAGCTACTGTGAAGAGGACAAATGGCTGGACATGCATACTTAGCAGCGAAAGCGTGTTTGTCTGGAAAGTTCACTTAAAAAAATCAGAGAGAGCAAAGATATCAGCTAAAAAGCCAAAAATAGAATGTTATTTATCCCTTTACCTTCCTAATTGGGTTCAGAGCAATTATGACATTAGCCTCCGACACAAGTCAGAAAGGAACTGTCAGAGGGCAATGGAAAGAAAAACACAGGCAACAGATGTAGGTCACCATCAATCACAACCAAATTATTTCCTGACTTCCAAGAGGATCTACTTTTCCATGACATTTGCTCTTAGAGGATGGCCTCACTTTGAGCGTCACCTGAGCTATGGGAATAACTCTGTGTTCAAAGAGAAGTAAACAGGAGATGAGCCAGAAAGTTCCTGTGCAGCTTTAATCTTGGTGTCCAGGACAAGTCTCCTTTCAAGATTCCTTTGAATATTATTAAGGCTCAGAAATAATGTTATGTAATAAAGATAGAAAATCGGCATCACACAGACTTGTGATTTAGTGATGATTTTGTTTGAAGTTTTCCTCAAAGTAAATAGCAATCTACTTCCCATTGAACAAGGCATTCAAATTATGATGAGAATTTTTCCCCCAGTGAATAATAATTAAAACCACATTGATAACCAAGATATTTTTCAGCTACCTAAACGTGTCATCTTGGGTTTTTTTTTTTAAAGTTCACCCAGGCCATGTGTGGTGGCTCATGCCTATAATTCAAGCACTTTGGGAGGCCAAGCAGGGAAGATCACTTGAGCCCAGGAGTTCAAGACCAACCTGGGTGATATAGTGAGACCCCATTTCTACAAATAATTTTTTTTTAATTAGCTGGGCGTGGTGGCTCGTGCCTGTGGTCCCAGCTACTCGGGAAGTTAAAGTAGGAGGATTGCCTGAGTCTGGGAGGTTGAGGCTGCAGTGAGCTGTGTTTGTGCCACTGCACTCCAGCCTGGGTAGCAGAGTAAGACCCTATCTCAGAAAGTGATATATACATACACACACACACACACACACACACACAGAGTAATAAAAATTCACCCAACATTTTATAGTTTTGAAGTTTTCTTTTTACTTTGGCTATCCTGTACAATCACTAGCATCCCAGGATCCACTTTCCATTCCAGCTAGTTTTATAAGCAGCATTAAGTTCTGATCATTCTTGTTTGTCATGTAGCCATCCTACGTAATGGCAAAATTTCTGAAAAGGAAATCCCTTTTAACATAATTAACACGTCTCTCTCAGTGCATGGTTCTGAGCTTCCTCAGATCTTACTCAATCAGTATATAGTAAGTGCTTAATAAAAGGTTAGCTGCTTTTACTATAATCTGACAAGTGCTCAATAAATGTTAGCTGCTATTTCTATAATCTGTCCACAGCAATTATGACTATAATCTGCTACTCCTATAGCACTTACTATATACTTCTTAATAATTAAAGACAGGAAGAACAAGCACACTCACCGTCCCAAGAAAATGGGTACCATGTAGTCACTGGGCAAATTTTCTTTCTCTTCTCCAGACAGAAGGCTGTGCTTGGCTCTCTTTGGTTTGGGGCTCAACTTGGATGAATAATCATCTAACAGTAGACTGGAATCTGTAAGTCTGAAATAAACCACCTAACATCAGACAATAATAACAAAAAAAAGGCATTTACAACATTCAAAATACTGATACAGGAAGTTTTAACTTGGGAGAAATTTTACCAAATCCTAGATCTCTAATGTTACAATTATCTTTTATCTTTAGAATCAAAGTAGAGTTAGAAAGATTTCAAATAACAGACTCTATAGAGACAGAAAAGAAAAATAGTGATAATAATTTTATGGCTCCAGTAATTTCATGGCTTTTTCCCCCACTTAAAGTTTCAAGGGAAAACAGTGATGCTTTTGTGATACTTCTAAATGCCCTTTTGTGTTAATGTCATGTTGGAAATCTAGGCAGACTATATAAATGGTTTTGATACATGGTGCATCCAAATTCTTTTGGGAGCTTATTTAAAACGCACACTTTTCTAGATAGATCCATTCTGATGTAGGACCCTTGGTTTACACTGAGACCTTTATGTATTATAGGTGACTCCTGCCTTTGAAGGGATGTGAGGCTTATTAAATAATAGAGTTAATATATTTTATGTGAACACATGATGCCAATTGACTCAGTGATTCACAAGGGTGTGATAAAGAAGCCTTTGGTCAGTTCTGTCTTCCTATGCACACTGCTGCAAATGTGCACTTGGAGGTAGTTAGTGTTCTAATAAACCAAAAAAATGACTAGGGAAGTGGAAAACATGAGAGCAGAGATAGCAGAGAAAAGGGATTGATGAAATGAAAAGAATAGTGTTAATTTGTATAGTTCTTCAATGAAATGAAATGCATTCTCATACAAACATACACAATTTGGCATAAACTTCAGGAGTTCATGGACTCCCTGAAGTCAATCCGTGAACTCGGGGCTAAAAGTCCCTAATCTACACAGTAAGGAAAGATGTTAACAATAGGGGTCTGTATAGGAACTCTTCTGCACTATCCTTTTAATCATTTTGTAAATTTGAAACTATTCTTAAAAAAAAAATGTTAATTTTTTTTAGAAGCCCTCGGTCTAGAGGATCTCTAAAGACAAGGTGAAGAGGGGTATTATGTCATGGGAAAAGCCAAGCTGCCCATTTGAAATAGGAAAACCTTCCAAACCTTGACCATTTCCTAATCTTCGAAAATCATTTGAAAAAGCAAAAGGGATTACCTAATCCAAAGCAGAAGAGAGGTCAAGCATATACATGGTACAAACAATGTATGATGATGCGAGAAAACAAGTAGCACAGGGCTTTGACATGCAGGGCAGGCAGCAGCACCTTGAATCCTCCCAGGAGGTCTCATGGAAATGGCCTAACTCTTCCTTCCCCATATCTACCCCCTCCCCCAGAGGTGAATATCTATCTCTTTTTCTATGATCAGCATTAAAACTAAAGGTTAGAACTTTGAATTCAAGCTTGTGGATTGGTTACCAACTGGAAGCCAGGGTGACATTTGTTCCTGGCCGGCTGTCCTGGGCAGCAGCAAAACGACTGCATTCTATACCCCGGCAGGTCACGAAGTACAGGCTGTGCTTATACAGGTCTAAGTTTAAAGTGGTATTTTCCCTCACCTCTTTATTCCATTACCATCCAAAATAAAATAATTATGGGGCTTAAGAGTTTCATTTTTTCCCCCGTTTCGAACAGCTGGATTCTAATTTCTCTCCTATTTTTCTGCTTTTGCTTTTCTCTCTTTACTCATTCTAGTGGCTACAGGAGATTCTCATGAGTTCATTATTTTTTGACATTTATTACATCAAAATAGCTATGATTTCTTATTCTTTTCATTGCATTGCTCCTTTTTCTGTCATTTATCCTTTAAGACAAATTCTTAAAATAATGCATTTATTACATAGAATGTGCTATAATATGAGTACTCCATTCTCACAAGTAAATCACAGGAGCTGTTTTTTTTTTCTTGTACATCATTCCAATGTAGGAGCCGACTTTTTAATAGTTGAACTTTATGCTAAAGACTCATGGCCCTTTCATCAGCTTCCACTTCATATTTCATTTGGAACAGAAGAATTTTTAAAAAGCATTATGATGCTATGTGTTATATAGTACTGCTTAGAAAATGCAAGATCTCCACTTTTATTATGCTAATATTTCTTCAAGACTTTGATTTCTAATAAAGAGTATATGAAGAACTAGATGTTAAAATACAATGCGAACTGATGATTTAGTAATGCTAAGACATTTATTTATTGAGGCTAGCAAACAAAACTAAATCAGGCCGGGCCGCGGTGGCTCAAGCCTGTAATCCCAGCACTTTGGGAGGCCGAGACGGGCGGATCACGAGGTCAGGAGATCGAGACCATCCTGGCTAACCCGGTGAAACCCCGTCTCTACTAAAAAAATACAAAAAACTAGCCGGGCGATGTGGTAGGTGCCTGTACTCCCAGCTACTCAGGAGGCTGAGGCAGGAGAATGGCGTGAACCCGGGAGGCGGAGCTTGCAGTGAGCTGAGATGGCGCCACTGCACTCCAGCCTGGGGGACAGAGCGAGATTCCGTCTCAAAAAAAAAAAAAAACTAAAACAGAGAGACACAAACTTTAAAGAAAGTGACTGTTATAATAAGCATAATTATCTTAAGAAAAACATCCATAGTCTATTTTGTCATGATCCATGACCTCTGAAGTCCAACATCTTACTCTATCGAATTTTAAAGTTGAAAAATGTTTCTAGAGGAGTTACATATAATATGTAGATTTTAAATTTCTTTGATCTTAAATCAAAGAGCTAAATAAAGGCTTGCTAACCCCTTGGGCTTTTATGTATTTAAATTTTGAAAATAAGCCAACAACTTACTTCCGAGTAGTTACCAAACTTAATATGTATGGATTGGTGTCCGTCTTTACCTATTAAAACTAGATGTAGTGTTTTTTAATGTGCTTAGCTTAAATCTTGAAGCTTTCTGAATTTTGATGAAAGCAATCAAATTAAGCAAAAGGCAAGGGTTAATTGTGTGTGTGCACAGGTATCTATGAGCCTGTAACTGTATCTATATCTAGGTACATCTTTTTGTACTCCCCACCAATTATGCTAGTCCTTGTTAATATGTCTACAGTTAACAGATTTTAAATACATATCCTGGTGTGTAGGACATTATCACATACATCTATGACTGGTAGCACCATAGGGAAGAGACGTAGCCAAGGTACAACATGCACTCTCTGGAAATATTCCAGGAATTCAGAAGTAGACTTACACCTGCATCTAATTCAAATACTGAAGAGAAAATATTATAACCCCCTGCTTATTCAACTTCATAACAGGAAAAGCAAGAATAAAACCATTTATAGAATTTCAGAGCTGAAAGCGGACTTGGGGATATTTATACCAGGCCCTTGATTTGACAGATGTGGAAAGCAAAGCCTGGAGAGTGTTTGTAACTCACCCATGCTCACACAGTGAGTTGGTGGTGAACTGGGACTGGCACTCATCTCTTCTTGATTTTCAGGTTAGTGTTCTTTTCACTATACCAGTCATCTCCAACGTTTTTTTTTGAGACGGAGTCTCATTCTGTCGCCCAGGCTGGAGTGCAATGGCGCGATCTCGGCTCACTGCAACCTCTGCCTCCCGAGTTTAAACAATTCTCCTGCCTCAGCCTCCTGAATAGCTGGGGTTACAGGCGCACGCCACCATGCCCGGCTAATTTTTGTACTTTTTAGTAGAGACGGAGTGTTGCCATGTTGGCCAGGCTGGTCTCAAACTCCTGATCTCAGGTGATCTGCCTCCTTCGGCCTCCCAAAATGCAGGGATCTCCAACTTTTATGATCAAGTACTCTTAATTTAAAAAATTGGGGGCATACTACCTACATAAGTTTATTTATAAGTTCTATCCGTATACTACTGTATAAATAGTCCAATTTTATGAAACATTCAATCAATAGAAAAAAGCTAAAGATCGCATTTGATTTTTTTTTTAAAAAAAGAAGTGTTATAGCCAGGTGCAATGGCTCACACCTGTAATCCCAGCACTTTGGGAGGCTGAGGCAGGCGGATCACGAGGTCAGGAGATCGAGACCATCCTAACTAACATGGTGAAACTCCGTCTCACTAAAAAATACAAAAAAAAAAAAAAAAAAAATAGACGGGCATGGTGGCAGGCACCTGTAGTCCCAGCTACTTGGGAGGCTGAGGCAGGAGAATGGCATGAACCCAGGAGGCAGAATTTGCAGTGAGCCGAGATCACGCCACTGCACTCCAGACTGGGCAACAGAGCGAGACTCCGTCTCAAAAAAAAAAAAAAGAAGTGTTACTATTTCGTTCTATACCCCAGTGGCTTGCCTTTGTGGACTCCCCACTTTGGAGACCATAAAACCATGTCATACTGTCCATGATGACTTTGATGTTGATTCGTTGTTCCTGAATTTATTCACCTAAATTGAAGTTATAAAATAATCAGTTACAGCTAAAATAAAGCACAAAAAGTCATTAAACTGAACATAAAATAAAATGTTGGCCCCTTAAAGTTATGTTTATAATCATCATATAATTTGGGGAAATTGTTCCAGGTTTACTAGGATGAATAAATGTATTCCTGTTTATGGGAAGTGTAGACCTGCATAATGGCTATGTTACTTTCTGAAAACATTCTGACAGCCTATCAGCATGTTTCAGAGAAAGGATGAACTGTGGGCATTGTCTCCACTGACTGTGCTCCCAAAGCCAGCATCACCCATCCTTACGTGCTCAGGGTTAGGCTGCATTATTGGTTTCTCTGTCTTTCCCACTGCCTGTGACTACCTGAGAAGAGGGATGGTCTCAGTGATCTTTATATCCTCAGCATTGTACCCAGTGCCTGACACAACTCAATAAATGTTTATTGAATGAAGTGAAATAAAGATTTATGACCAGGTACAGTGGCTCACACCTGTAATCCTAGCACTTTGGGAGGCCGAGGCGGGTGGATCACGAGGTCAGGAGTTCAAGACCAGCCTGGCCAAGATGGTGAAACCCCGTCTCTATTAAACATACAAAACTTAGCTGGGCATGGTGGCGGATGCCTAGAATCCCAGCTACTCAG